CCGCGAGCCTCGTGTTTAACGCACACTCGGGCCACCACGCGCGGGTCGCTGGTGGTCGTGCTTCCGGGAAGCCCCTCGAGCGTTTAATCCGCCATTGTTTGAGAAAGTTTGTCGCGGCTACGTAGACCGGCCGCTCTCAAAGCGCACCATTAAGCCCGTACAATTCGGCTGCGCAAGCTCCGAGACGCAGGTTGTGCTTGCTCCGGCCTTATCTTCGAAACCAAGGTCGTTGGCTACCTTTCTGCTCTTTTCGACATAAATCTGTGGCTGAGATTTCGCGCGCACGGAAATGTAGGTCTGTAGTGATAGTGCGGACGTGTCGATGTCAATGCGCAGTCACCTCTGTGGGTAGCACAAAAACTCATTTGTACGAACCGCCTTTCTACTGATATACTCAGCAATGCTAATCGCGCAAACATTCAGACGAGAGAAAGCAACGAAAATTGACGAGCGGCCACCTCTTGTCTCAAAGTGCTTGCAGTTAGTATCGCTGAGTATGAAGCGTCAACTGACTCTAACTCGCAGGGTCTTGGGGTCTACTGATAATTTAATCCACGCGGTCTGTGTCTCGTCTTGTATCTTTCGCTTTTGGCGCTAGCTATATATAGGCGCAAGAAAACCCAAGTGGATCGCTAGCCCATGTTTGACCCCACCCTTTCTACGTTACATGCCATTTCCTAAAAGCTTTGTTAATGTGTCCTTCCAGCATTTTGTTGTTAAGGCCTATTTTGTTGATATCAATATGATCCCGCTTTTTTTTATTAGTTGAAAGTACATAATATTGTGTCTCGGGTATTTTCGTCTATAGCTTTTTGGGTTTCCCTGTCTTCCCAGTGAAAGGTGGAACGGTCCGTGAGTCCAGCGGTCAAGGTCGGGCGGCTGGTTACACGGTAGCGGCAGGGGCGTCTTGAATGCAGGTCTCTACAAATCCACAGAAAGTGTGTCACCATGAACTGGAGTGTCGCAAAGTGGGCACGCCGTGTATGGGCCGCGGTAACGTTGCTCCGACAGAGGTGCGACAGAAGGCGACGCCAACACGAGGGCTCCGCAACGTAACCTTCTCTAAGTGATTTGCTAGGCAGGTGCCGACTTGACATATATTTTTATTTGTAAAAGCGATAAGACCTGAGCAATCAAGATCCATTCGAACCAATCCTGATATGCGCTTTACGGGTAAACATTTGTTACTTGTGAAGTTCAGCGAAAACGTTGCCCACTGCAAGTATGCATGCCATTTACACGCAGGCTCTCTTTGTTGAACCTGTATAAAATGATTCGAATCGAACCGTGAGTTTAGGAAGTCTCAAGAAATATGGCTCAAAATGGATTAAAAGAAACGTTTTTTATGAAGGGACTTACCGTAGAAAAATCATAAGGCATTCTCGTCAGCGTGCAGGTTTTCTGTGCTCTGTTCATATAAACAGTATGAACATGAGAGATTGTGAAGGTAAAAAACAGATATGTATGTACTTCCTTCTGTGCGGTCTTAAGATCAATCAAATTTCTCACAAGCCCAACTCGAAGAGCTATTTGCAAGTGTAATTTCGGGCTTATACGCCTCTTGTGTGCAGATCAGCGTAGATAGCCAAGGTCTTGCGAGAACAGTGCTGTTTTTTTTTTGTTATGCGCGTGTTCTGAACACAATGAGACATTACTCGACGCAAGCTGCTGAATCCGTAACACTGCGAGTTTAGTTTGAAGCGCGAGCACACGCAATCATCGGGTTGCAATTAACAGCCTCCACAGCGGTTCGGTTCGCCCAGCAAACAAGCGAACAGATTCGCCTGGTGAATCTGTCGCGCAAATATAGCCGCAGTGGTGTCTACATGGTTAGAACGTCTGCTTCCAGTGCGGGAGGGGCCGGGTTCGATTCCCAGTGCCGACCGGGAACCCGCCGTTTTTTCCCAATGGGTAGAGGAGTACACCGACCTGGTGTTCGGTTGTTTCTGGGTACTAATCTCGAGAGGTAGCCGCATACGATTCTGCGAAGGCCCCTGGGCGTACCTTAATCCACCACAGCCTCGGTGAAATAGTTGAGCATCTGCTGCTGCTGCTGCTGTGGGAAGCAGAGAACTGCTGCAACCAGGCACCTACTGGTTAATAGGTACAAGCGCACTTCTGGCCATGGTGCTCCGCAGAACAAAGTTCATAGTCGCTTGGAAGGGCGCCCACACTGTGGCAAATCGGCGGCATGGAACCGCCAAACCTGAAATTGAGGTCATCCTTTTTTCTTTTTCTTTTTTTTTTTTGCGCGTGTCACATACTTGCGCTGTGTTTGCGCCAGACATGTTTTTTTAGAGTAACGTGTCGCGCAGTGTTGACCGTTGAGGACTATATGTGCCGCTCTTCAAAAGCAATCTTCTTTCTATAGCGTCCTCAGACTCCTGTGAAAAGTATTATGTAGATGCGATATAAAATGTAATAGAGAATTCTTCCTTGGAATGACAACAGCAAACGTCGCAACGATTGCATAGCGGGACGAAGAACATTCAGTACGATGTCTGCGACGTGTTCAACTGACTGATTTTGGGTGACATTTTTTATTGGGACTACTACAGTAACGTCAGAAGGCGCAGTCGTGCCATCGCTGCGCCCTTCTGCTAAGAACGACGCATTCGTGGCATGGGCATAGAAAATTGAGAGCCTTAGAAATTTGTAGATATAGTATACTGTAAATCGCTTCAAGAGAGATGACCTCTTTTCTTTCTCTACTTTTCAGTTACTGTATATACTGTGTCTACTTCCTATCGCATTGACTTATAGTTTCATGTTAAGTTGGCAACTTCTCTTATATCTATATACAATACCGGACAACTCACTTATGACGATTGCGTAAGCTGGTGTGGTTTTACGCTCTAAAACCACAATATGACTATGAGACGTGCTGTTGGGAAGTGCTTCGACTACCTCGAGTTAATTCGCTAACTTCCACTGGCGAGGCACAGCATACGGGCCTCTCGCCTCCTTCGAAATGCGACCGACGTGGCAACGGTCGAACCTCCGTCTTCCGGTTCAGCCGACGAGCGCTGTGACTCTTCGCCACTGTGGGGGCGGAAGGAAGCCATCAGGTATTTCGACACGAACGGCTTTTCCTTCGAAGGACCCACTATTCGGGACCAGAAACCACGCATTCGCATGAATACGGCATGCGCATGCACCCATTTTTACCCGTTGTTTTGCCTCGCTCTCGCCTATTACACAGATGTTAGCGAGTTGCGAGGATGGCAGAAGAGGAAGTGCGGCGCAGATATATGCCGTCTCGGCTGTTACAGGATCGGCCGCCCCGCTTGGTCAGCATTTGACCTTTAGGTGGCGCGCAGCTGAGGGAAAGATGCATACAGATAGATGCCCTGCTTACGTCCATAAAGCGTCTAACCTTTCGTTTCTTTCGCTGCTTGACCTTCACGGCACTGTGCTCGTGGGTGTAATACGTCCATGCATTTAGAGTGAATTCGAAGCGCGTTTCCGTTTTTTTTTTTTTCCTGTTTCTCTGTGCACACTGATTCCTATGGTCTTCGTCGTGAAAGAATGTCCGGGTTACTACTCCTTGCTTTGTCTGGCATAACACAGATCAAATTTGTTTCAGTGTGTGTGGGCGAAATCCACGTTAGATCGGTGAAAACTAGGCATTAAAAGCGGCACTGTTCGTAGGTAACAAAAACAAAAAAGGAATCAACGAATACAGCTGATATAGATGCATGCATTCCACTATATATAAACGTGTGCAAGGGGGCGTGCAGAGAGGCGACCGCCCTCCCCCCCCCCCCCCCCTTCTGGTCACATAAGAGCGGGACGAAAAGCAAGTCCTGTACATCGACATAATAGGGAGGGTGCTGGCAGTGGGAGGGCGCTGCAAATAACCTTCGCTCCCCCCCCCCCCCTTGAAGGGGAAGTCTGCACACACTTATGCATCCCACAATAGCCATCAAGTAAAATGCTATGGAATATAAATCCATCTTACACAGGCACACTTAATACGCAAATAGCAATAATGCGCATTATAGAGGAAACACAAGTTAGGGCACTGAGTATGATCGGTTAGGTGGCCTCGTACTCAGTTGAGTAGGGAAACCAAACTTACAGAGAGTGGGAGCTTTGGCCGCACAAAAGCCCTGGCCGCACGTGCAACCTGGTCGATCAGAGCTTGCAGGTCGGCCAAGTCACTCGTGCCTCCCACTGCTCTAGCGTGTGTGTTGGTGTCACTTCTGTGCCTGGCAGGCGTGGAAAATGCTTAGAGCAGTTCGTTATAATGATATATGTAGGTATACATCACCTGGGGGAACCTCCATAGCATGTCGCAAGCATTACGTGCAATCACACTTAAGTACAAGGTGGCAAAGAAGAACGTCATTAGGCCTTCGAGAACAGCAGTTCAACTTAAAAATGGCTTCATATGTGAATGTGCTTGCCGTATACGTCTTAATTGGTTTCGAAGGTTTGTCACAATTCTTTTAACGTGTTATCTCATATCGTGCATAACAATTCGTTATGTGAAAAAAATGCTAACAAGTAGGCTTTCATAGACACCTAATAGCCTTCTGCCTAAATATTCTTAGCGTTAGTTAAAAAAAAAACCCTGCAGGGATCGGTTAATTTTAGGAGGCATTGTGTAAATACGCGACGTCACAGTGTGAATTAAGTTTTGCAGTGATCGTATGTCCGAGGCAGCAGCACTGAAACGTTATCATTGTACACCAATGCAGTTATCACTGCATTTGAAGTTTTGAAGGGAACCACACGTGCGCAACTTAATTACGAACACGTTTTAAACGTATACGGGCGTAGTAGACCAAAAAACACGCATGCGCATCTGCGGACCTTGGATGCTATGCGCGGAGCGTCGCAGAATTGTGCCTGCGAAGTGAGGTGGTATAGATTGCTTTTCATGCATCGCCAGTGCCTGTTTTATGTAACCTTGGGTTTATCGCAATTTTTTTTACTTAAAATCTTGGATGAGTCGTCTCTTTAAATATCTTATGCCTCGCTCTAATTTTTTGCAGAGCGCGCTCCAACGTAGTTTCTGGCTCGCCACTTGCAGTGCCGACGCAGAGGAGCATTCCTCGGTCGCTCGTCCTTCGCTGGCGTCGGTGCGTATTTCGGACAGCGAGGGAATAAGGAACTAAGAGTGAGTACGCTGCACCTCAATTTCTTACCTGTGCACAACGTATGGCTTTTCTGTTTTCGCCAACCTCTGAACGCACCGTCACTGAGAGCATTCGTATGCAGTATATTCCCAAGGGAGAGCTTGGCTAGCGTGCAGCCAATTTTGCAGGTAGTCGCTAATAACTTTCGGACAAAGTACGCTAGCGTCGCCGAAGACTGGATGCGATGACTTACGGTGGAAAACGTACGCGAAGATGCCTATGATGACTAAGCACCTATGCCTGTCATGCCCTGGCATCGCACAAAACATGGTTCGGCATCGAACCGGCTTCTTCGGGGTCGGCACCTGAGCATTACTTGGCCCGATGAAACAGAACATTGTTTCTCATAGTCGGTTCCGCGGAATGTAGGGGTTCCTGGTTTGTAAGGCCCTTCCTCGGGCTTCGTGAGCTACTGATCAATTTATTTCTGGTTTTACACTCGCCACGTCAATTAGGTGGGGAACCCCAGCTGGAATCGATCGGATGAACTTCCTTTCTCACGCTCGAGTGTCATTAAGCACATCCCTGTGCATGATAGAAGCGCGCGGTCTGCGCAATCAATACCGCCAGCAGGTTGTATAGCAAGACACACTCCGAATACTGGCCGCGCGGTTAAACTATTACCCTTTTAATATCGGAGGCCTCATATTTTCCTGACGCTCATTTCTCCCGTTTAAAGATCGGTGCCGAAAGTAAAGCAGTTGATGAGCTACAGCCATTTGCAACTACATATGTTTGTAAGTAGGCATTCTCGACGCTAGCCTATCTGAAAAATAAGCCCAGGAATAGGCTTAATGCAGCAGCCGACCTGAGGATGGTCCTGAGCGTAACTATAGGCCTTGCGACGTTCTGTGGGTTCAACGAAAGTCATTTCTGTTGCATACCAGTGAGTAAATTTTTATGGGCCCTAGCTTTGAATTCATTGCCTGAAACGAGTGAAAAATGCTTGCGTTAAAGCGGGGAAGGGGATAGGTTCCTTGGCACTTAATGAAGCTTATAGGGTTCCTTGGGACCATCGTGCTTGAAAACCCTAGGAGTATAATTGAAATATTATCTTAGATGGTATTTTTGACTGAAATGTAACTGATCTTCATAGAATAAAAATTCATAGAATAAAGAACAAAGGGGTAGCTGCTATGAAAAGTTTATTTATCCTTACGTGGGTCTATGAGGCCGTTGCAAAGCAGGTTGAGTACACAGAAACGTTCGAAGACTCGTGAACGAAAAACAGTGAGCGTGCCTTTGTTTTTATAAGCACCGGAAAGTTGCCACCTCACAACTTGGCAAACTATTAGCGCATAAATGTCTGAACTATTTCTGTCTGTTGCAACTTCAACATCACCCGCCTTGAAAATGACTCTAGTTTGACAGGTTCTGACATACTGTGACATTCTTTGCAGATTTTCTCTCGCCAAGATAACATCACAACATTTTCTTCTTAGCTTTTACCGGGTAATTTGTGCTAGTGATAAACTTGCTACGTTAGAGAGCGAATATTCAGTGAAAATGAACAATTGTGCGCACTGCGATAAGTCACATATTAAGGCCTGAGATCGGACGGTTTTCTTCTTTGTACGGATCGAACGTCCGTGAAAACTTATAGCTAGCCGCTTTGTATTGGAGAAATTCCATGACTAAGTGAGATCACTTCGGACTAAGTGAGGCAATATGGGTGTGAAAAGTAAAGCAGCACCCAAATGCGAAACATTGAGGATGATAGCTATGAGGATCGCATTCTTATTGGCCATATAAATTATCACAAAAAATATTCACCTACCGATTAAGTGAAGGGGCATATGGCCGTGATCAGAAGGCAAACGCGAAGAGATCCCACTTGTCCGTTGCAAACACTCGTTGTCACAACTCTAGAGGAGTGATGAACAGCGCCGGCAGTGAGTAATTAACCGTTCATGTTGCGTCTAGCGTTCATCCGGATTTCAGATTACGCGCATTAAGACATGGAAAGTTTTAAGGAATTTCTGGTTACACACACTGCGTCGAAAGAGTTTCTCAGGCGGAGTGATGGCCTGCCAGGTCTGTCAAGCTAAGCCCGCCTATGGCAAGATGGCAACATTAGCACCGCTACGGCCACAGACAGCCGGAAAGGCACCAGCACTCGCTCTTAGTAAGATACACTTCAACATCGTTACACGCATGAGGCGAGCGTATTTGAATATGCTCGAGTCAGATGCATAACCACTACCGAGGTAAAAAACTGTCCCCTCCCCCCAATCCGCTAGCGTGCGCTTTGTCATGTAACGTTCAACGTGGGAAATACTGAAAAATTGTGCGCATCGAGTCATCAACAGTGTGGGCCAGACAAAGCAGGCTTAATATTTTTGTTTGGACCCATAGTATCGCTAACATATCGCACGTCGACTTACATGGAGCATCACGTCAACGGCCCCCGAAGTAACAGCAGTTCGTTAGCACGGTTCATATAACCGTTATCACAAGGAAAAGGAAAACTTTGTCATATCACCACTACTGAAACAAAATATAAGATGCAGTGCAGACTATCTCAGATCTTACGATTCGCAGAAGCCGACCTTTTGCACGCTGTTCATAATGAAGGTAAAATATGGATAGAACAAAAAGTTTTCAGCGTTTCATTTAAATAAGCCAAAGCATCTTTCACACATAAGTCTTCATACACAATTTTAACACTATTAAGTCAGTTTCGTTTCTATCGCCTTGGTTTTCTATCACAGTTTCTTCCTGTTTCAAGCACACGCTGGGCACGCGATGATTAGTCGTGCTTCTTTAGCTTATCGGCGCTTGCGTGGAGTTTCCTCTGCGCCCTGTAGCTCTTGATGTAGAAGTTGATGAAGAGTCCCAGTCCCAGACAGCCTTGCGGCAGGGCCAGCATTGTGAGGAACTTGGGGTACCCGCAGTCGTAGACCAGCGTGATGGCCATGTGCAGCATGAGGCCAACGAACTGTACAATCTGCAGCTCGGTGAGGTAGCGCTTCCACCACAGGTACTTTTGCATCGAAGGTCCCAGGGCCGCGAGGAAGTAGTACGAGTACATGATGACGTGGATGAAGGCGTTTACGCACAGGCCGAAGATGGGCTGGCCGTCACCGCCGAAGTTGATGAAGAACCAGCCGCTGAGCACGACCAGAAAGTGGTGAATGACGTGAAGAAACGTGATTTGCGCGTTCTTCTTGCGCAACACGAAGAACACCGTGTCCAGGAAGTCGCCGATCCTCACGAAGCTGTACCACCAGCCCAGGTTGAGGATGGCCATGTCCCTCTCGCTGGGCGAGCTGTAGTTGATACCCTGACAGAACAGGCTGTAGTTGCCGCCCACGTAAGTGAGCGACAGAAAGCGAACGGCGAAGTAGGCGTTGGCTATCACCGTCAACGCGTTGTAGACGAGCACCGCCCACTTGAGGTCGAACGGCTTGCGGTCTTTCATCCAGCGGGGACCGGCCACCTTGGCGAAGTAGACGTACCCGATGAGCAGCGGAAAGGTGAACTTGGCGTCGGCGATGAAACCCCATCCCGCCGTCCGTGGGTCTCGGTGAGACCATAATGATTCGTACACGTCGGTCAGGGGAACTGTGGCCGAGCGAGCCATCGTGACTCGTAATTAACAGCGAGAAGACCCGCGCCGGGTGAAAACCACTGCCGCTTTCACGCTTGCCGGGGAACTGGCGCAGCTGGTGCCGTCGTCCTCGGGTTTGGTCTACAATCCGCAGATCCGTAAGCCTTCGGTGGGTCCACACTCCGCGCAAAGTCTCGTGTGCTTGCCGACTGCTCCGAGAGCCAAGTGTGGACGGCGGACTATAGTCCCTTCTCGCTGGTCAGAAAGGTCTCGTCTACCTTTATAAACCGTATCTGTCGGATGTTCCGGGAAAAAATAAAACAAAATGCATGATGGTTTGGGAGTTGAAGCACTTTAAGAGTATAAAAGTGAGGTGTCTGAGGCTATCGAAATAACATCCTCTGTGCGTCGAAATCAGCGCGTCACAAATGTGGGAAGTGGAGAAGGGTATAGCGTGATGACATAACATGGCGCTGATAGTGTGCGTACTACCGAGTGTAAGTAAGCTGCACCGGCAAAAACATGCGTGCTGCGCAAATTGCTGCACATGTAACTAACTCCTCGACCCCTGCAGGAAGAAAACAAAGAAAAAGATTAGCTAAACAAAGCGCATTTCGGCTGCACACGTCAAGTGAAGAGGAGGGAAAGGGCAGCTCTGGCGAGGAGTTCCGGCGCTGCGCATGAATTTCACTATACGGTTACTCGCTAATGCGTTTCACACCACATTATCGTAACTTTTTTTTTGTTCTTTTTGCCGACGTAGTGTGTCGAATGGATGCGGGTTTTGTGACTGACGCTTATTGTAGATTCCACGTGGATCCCCTTTTCGTACACAAGAGAGGAGGAACTCGAAGGCTTAAAAAGAAACAAAGGCGTCACTTTACGCTAAAATGAAGACCTGTGGGAATGGGAAGAAGTGGGGGGGGGGGGGAATTCTGGGAGACGACGCGTTTTTCCGCGCTCGACGCATGTCATAGTGTCGTTACTTGGTTGCACAAAGGGTAAACCTGCCATTCTCATCATTCCAGCCATGATTCTAGATTAGTGAACATTCCCAGCTCTGCCTAATGGTAATTCCGAAGGGAATAAAAACCACGTCGCCGTGGTTTTGTTCCCTTGTGTCGGGTGTCGGAAAACCCGCAAGCTCGCAACTGCGCCATGTGGCCGCTTGTATACGTGTACACTCAATTTACTTTTTACTGAGAACAAATATTTCTTTACCAGGAACCTCACAGGCGATAGAGGTTGTCGTTTATACACTGCGCTCTGGCAGATAAAGCACAAATATAGTCACTGTGGCCCTCAGCGGTATAAGTCAGGGGTCGACAACCTTTGTACGCCGATGACACTTTTGTTGTTATAACTGCCGACAATATTTGTTATATCGAAATTAAAGCAAACAACGAGTCGAAAAAGTAAGTAAATGGTTTTGAGCGGACAAAGTTAATATTAACACATACACAAAAAAACTAAATATATGGTGTTTCGAACGCGTCAAAGTATTGCGTGTGCTATATCACTACATTTGCGAATAGATGAATTTCTACTAGACGAAGCCGGCTCATTTAAATATATTGGCGTGATAATTGGTTACAATTTGCACTGGAACGAGCAAATGAACGCAGTTTGCGCAAAGCTTGCCTTGGTATGGTATATATACGCGCCTTCACAAGCGCGTCATCATTTCGATTCTAACACTTTGCGTGTTTTATATTTCACACCCGTCCACAACGATATCACATATTGTAATGAATCATAGGGTGTGACATTCAAAACTTATCTTGAACCTGTAGGCAAACTTCAGGAATGAGCCCTCAGACCCACTCACATTATGATCAGCCTAGTTTACCTCTGTTTATAAAAATGAATATCTTGCCCTATGATAGGATACATGAAATAAAAATGGCCAGGTGTTTTCAATATCGTTAAAACAACCTACCATTTCATAATTTCGTATTTTACCCATCCGCTCGTGTGACTCGAAATCAAGCATACAAAATCTTTTAAATCTTCCTCTAACCAGAAATACGGGCAACGCTTGCTGCAAATTTCAGGACCAAAAGTCTGGAATAAACTACCAGCAGAAATGAAACAAACAAATACTTTTTATTATTGCTTAAAAATTACTTAATCGGAACGATGTTGTGTCAGTGTGAACAATCGTGTCTCTTTTTTCTTGTCGATAGCTTTCGGAAACCTGCTAATAAATCTTTTTTCTTCACTCGAGGTTACTATGTAGATTTTAAACTTTGATATTAGCGCATGGAATCGCCTTGTTTACTGCCTTTACATATCTACCCTTAATTGTAACTGCGTACTAACCGATACTTTTGCTTTCCTTTTGTACACTTGGGAAATTTGAATATGTGCAATCACTATACACGTACACATTTCTGTACCTTCCTCTTGTACATGGAAGTCTTATTTCATTGGACCCGCAACTAGCCTTTGGCAATGAGTTTAACCACTCTTCATATTTCTGTATTTTACGCATGCAAATAAAGAATGGAATTGAGATGGTGAGTCGAGTGCCGCGAAGCTGACCTGGCGGAGGCCGCACGACAAGTTGGGTCGTGGGGACGGAGTGGTTGCAGGTAAAGAGAAAAAATGGACTACTTGACAATAATAATAGGTGAAATTGGGATACAAATATTTATTTTCAGCACGCATGTCGCAATATTGCTTAAATTAAAACAATACATTTCAACGCTACTTTTGGTGCTGAACATTCTTAGCCATGTCTATGTCTACTACTATTAGGAAGACTATGTCTACTTAGGGCAGGTAATAACCGCAGAGCCGAACCACGAGATTGAAGTAACTAGAAGAATAAGAATGGGGTGGAGCACATTCGGCAAGCACTCTCAAATTATGACAGGTAGATTGCCACTATCCCTCAAGAGGAAGGTATATAACAGCTGTATCTTGCCGGTACTTAGCTACGGAGCAAAAACCTGGAGACTTACAAAGAGGGGTCAGCTTAAATTGAGGACGACGCAGCGAGCAATGGAAAAAAAAAAATGGTAGGTGTAACCTTAAGAGACAAGAAGAGAGCAGAGTGGATTAGGGGACAAACGGGGGTTAACGATATCATAGTTGAAATAAAGAAGAGGAAATGGACATGGGCCGGGCATGTAGCGCGTAGACAGGATAACCGCTGGTCATTAAGGGTAACTAACTGGATTCCCAGAGAAGGGAAGCGGGTTAGGGGGAGACAGAAGGTTAGGTGGGCAGATGAGATTAAAAAGTTTGGGCGTATAAATTGGCAGCAGCAAGCACAGGACCGGGTTAACTGGCGGAACATGGGAGAGTCCTTTGTCCTGCGGTGGACGTAGTCAGGCTGATGATGATGATGATGATGATGATGATGATGATTCTTAGCCATCTCGCCAATGTCTATATCAAGGTTCCTCAGAGACATATATAGAAAGTCGTGCAGTTGTTATCAGGCCGGCCCATAGCCGCCAAAACGAGAGTCCTAGCCTAGAGTTACTGTATATGCTACGTAAAGGTGGCATATACAGTAACTCTACCCTATAGCTCACCCACCTCCCTCCAATTAGGAGGGAGGGGTTGTTTTATCGAGGAAAGAAATATTAAAACTAGGTGTTCTTTGAGACCTTCTACAGGTTGCTGCTGCTTAGCCACGGGCGCAGTTGTCATCGATAGGCGGAAGGTGCTAATCGGAAGGAGGGAATGGGTTGTCGAAGGGTAAGGTCTGGCGTCGTGCTGTGGGCCGCAAGTGCTCCCTTGCGGGCAGATTGCCGATTCCTTGTATTTTGAGTACACGAGTTGTCACAAGTCGTGGTGGAGCAACAAAGCGTTAACACAGGAAAAACTAAGCTCACGTGCTATTGAGGCTCGAGTCAGGACCTCCCCGCATCGCCTATTTATTTATTTATTTATTTATTTATTTATTTATTTATTTATTTATTTATTTATTTATTTATTTATTTATTTATTTATACTGTCAACCCTCACTTGAGGGTCATTACAGGGAGGGAAGCATAGGATATGGAAAGTAAATGCAGACATTGATATTTTCAGCAACTTTGAACAATAACACAATAGCATATTCATTGCTCGGCAAAGTAAACATCAAGAGCACATTCAAATTTTTTAACGTCAGAATTTTCAACAATATGTCGCGGCAATTTGTTCCACGCTTCTATAATATCAGGGAAAAAAGATTTGCGAAAGACGTCCGTGCGAGCACCGAAGGGGCGAACTGCCGCGTCATGATTGATCCGGCTGCTGAGCTTATGCGGGGGGTGTACGTAAATTGTTCTATCTATTTTTATTTGACCATGCAATATCTGAAAAAATACTTTTAGGCGCTGCTTTTGTCGTCTAATTTCTAGAGATTCCAAACCACTTAGTTTTAGCATCTCGGTAACCGAATCAGTCCTTTTATACTTCGAACATATAAATCGCGCGGAAAGTCTCTGAATTCGTTCCAGTTTATCTATTAAATCCTTTTGGTGGGGGCTCCAGGCAGCACAAGCATATTCTAAAACAGGGCGCACAAATGTTTTATATGCAAGCAGCTTGACGTCTTTCGTAGCATTCGGTAATTTAGCACGCAAGAAACGCAGTTTTCTGTAAGAGGCACAGCATACATTCTCGACATGTGCACGCCATTTCAAATCATTCGTAATATGCACTCCCAAATATTTAAATGCACACACCTGCGGTAAATAATTAGGTCCAATGCTGTACGTAAATGGTAAAACGTGTTTCTTGGTAGTTATATGCGTATATGTTGTCTTAGAATAATTTATTTTCATCTCCCCTTTATCGCACCATGTTTGAAAATCATCAAGACAATCATTAATTACAATTTCGTCATTCGCACACGTCACTAGAGAGTGAATTTTCTCTTCCAGTATACACATGATAGGTAAGTACAATGCTATGCAAAGTAGATATAAACACACGCCAGTATATTGTTTTTGTCAGAGGTATAACGACACTATAGAGACATGCATGAAAGTTCCACGGATCATAATTAGCTCACGTGCTGCATAGGTGAC